ATGGGCTTCGTGGGGATGGGCCTGACCCTGCTCCCGATTGTCGTCATCACGTACATGCGCGACAACGCGCGACGCGACGCTGCGCTGTGCGAAGCCGAGGACAGAGGACTGAAGGTCGAGTATCCGCCGGAGGAGCTGAGACGAATGGGGAACCAAGCCCCGGACTTCAGGTATACATTGTAACAAGGCGGTAATCGATAGCCTCGTACAAATCGGACAGGTGGGGGACACCACACGACCTCAGGCCGGCGCCCACTCGACGACAATAGCGCCTGGCAGGGTAGACGTTGCCTCGTCTGCAGGGTGGTCCCTAGGACCGCCAGCAAGGCGGATGCCAGCGTCGGGTGCCTGCCTCGATCCGTTGTCCCCGAGCGGCGTGGCAATTGGACGCTTGGAACCGTTGCTCCCGTTTTGCGTCGGCGTGCTTTGCTTGACCATCCCGTGAGACGTGGACATGCTCCGCTTGGATTCGTGAAATTGAGCCTCTAGCGGGACGTTGGGGATGTCCGGAGAGCGTTGAGCCTCCACGTCAGCATCCGTACCCCCGACCCCGACCGCCATGCTACCGGCTGAAGTGCCCGTTTCCGAGGAAGGGTACGGCTCGCGAGTATTCACGCGGCACGAATCTTCGCGTTCGCGTATCGTTTTGGTCGAGGCATAGGGATGGGGAAGCACCGGCGCGAGGGACGACGGCTCGTCGAGGCGAACGGATAAGGGCGCTGGATATAGCCGTGAAGATGAATGCAGTAGAACAGTGTAGGGAGTGCATACCTGCTAGCTTCTCTTCCTCCCACCTGCGCCGCCTCCTGCGGGACCACAGGACGTATGCCACGGCAGCGAGGACGGCAATCGCGCCAGCAACTACGATTCCGGCGATCTGTCCGGCGACTAAAGGCGATTTGGTCGAAGGCTGACTTGTGTTGTTGAACAGACAACTCGTGGAACCGGGACGGACTGTGACCTGGTTCGACCTGGTTCGACATCGCCTCAGCTCCGGTCGCATCCCGCACTGTGAGCATCAACACAGTCGCTTGGACCACTTGCACAGTCCATATAGTGTGGTCCGTGAAGAGTGGGGGAAACTGTACGAGCACTTCCGAGTTATTGGCGGTACTGACAAAGAGATTGTACGGGGCGCCCCCCCCCGGCCCAAGTGAGATCGACGATGGAGCATTCCGATGGGTCGAGAGGGGTATTGATGATAAGTGTCTGTCCACTGGACATGATGCCGCTCGCACTGCGATAATAGACGGATTTGAAGAGTAGAGCGAGGTGCCTGCCAAAGATAAATGAACAATACGGTGAACAGTGGGTTAGACGGTACATACCAGACCTCTTTGATTACAGTTGAAGATGGCGGAAGATGGCGGACAGCCCTAGCGAACGATGACCATGGGCCGACTCGACAGCCCTCTCGGGGCAGATAAGTGAGGGACGAAAGGGCGAATAGAGGTATGGTGGGATTGCTATGCATGGTTTATGAACCAGCTGTGCCCGGGTGCGCTTCTGTTCACTGCGGTTGCTACGACATGGATGCAATAACGGCGGCATGCATGCCGGTGGCGGAGGAAGACCTCACTGCTTAGGCGAGTCGAAAATGTACGTTACTAAACCTCGCAACATATCAAATTGCAGTGCAACTAGGACGTCGTCGAGGTCAGTCCCCACACGGCAGGTCGAAGGCGGGTCTTCAATCTCAATCCCTTCTTCTCTGGCAGACCATCATGATGAACTGTCATAGGGTTCCTAATCGAGCGATACTCTACCGGTAGCGTCAGCAAACGGACAGTAGACATGAATTGGTGAGGACGACCATACGCTGCACGAGGGCATTCTCCGTTCCAGCTCGGCGTCACAATTGCATTCAGGCGACGGGCTTTGTCGTGAGCGTCATTTGCACAGGCCGAATGTTGTACTTTGTCTTTGGGAGTTGTAAATGCAGCTGTGTATATGGGTTTCGGGTCACACAATGCATGCGGGCTGAGCAGGGTAGGGGTGGAGGTGTTGTCCCAATTACAGCCACACAGGGCGCGTTGGAGGCTGGTGGTCATACTCTACATGAAGGACATCCCTTGCGTTCTACGACAAGGATTGAGTTGCAGTATAGGTGGAGATGTGCACACAGTCGCAAAGCTGGTCATGCGTAGAAGCGTTCAGCCACCGAGGTATTCAGTCGAGGGAGAGAATAGCGCACCTGACATGAAGAAGAGGTATATCACGACGCAGCCTTGACCAGCTCCTCCCCCACTTCCTTCTTTTCCCTGATCAACGTCCGCAAGCGCATGCCTTCCCATCCGAGGAGCTCCGGCTTCGTCTTCAGCAAGTAGTTGTCGATGTTACCGTGCTGAGGAACATGGCGCATTCATGCGTGCATCTGAGCCGACTTGAATGCAGTACGTACCTTCTTGACGGTCCTCAGAGCTCGCGCGGTGATCTTGATCTTGACAAACTCCTGGAGCGTGTCGGAGAAGAGCCGTTGGTTGTGGACGTTGGGGAGCCATGTCCGGCGCGTCTTGTGCTTGGAGTTGGGCACGCTGTTCCCAAACAGCTTCGTCTTGCCGTGAAAGAGACCAAGCTGAGAGCGCTTGAACGGCGCGCTGACGGCCGCGAAGACGGGTATTGAGGGGAACATGGCGGGCAAGATCAAGAACGAGCCGCACAGCGAGCACGGGATGAGTTATTCCACCAATTTCCAGGCGGTAATTACAAGGGAGTTATCCGATCTTGCCCGCTAAAGCCACTTATCCGATAAGATAAGATGACTCACACCTCGTCCCATGATGACTTCCCTCACGGTCGCTTGCTGGCAATGTGATTCGGCCGAGGTTCTCGCAGACGACCACCCCGAGTTGCTGGACGACATCCTATTTCTCTCAGCACACGGTACATAAGCCACCAGGCCTCGTCAACCGGTCGCCCACCGCTCCTTCTCTCTGACCATCATGTTGTCGCGCTACATTTCCCGCTCGGTCCGCGGCCGGCAGTACGCCCCTGTCTGTTCCGCGTTCCGAGGATTCGCGAGCAGTTCCATCCGGTTGCGTGAGTCGTCGTCTCACTGTGTCTCCAGCCGACCTATCTGACGGCTGCGAATCGTGCTCGGATGGTGCGCTTGTCTCTGGGGATGGCGTGTGCGGAAACGGGCGTCTTGCGGCACTCCTCATGCGGGATTTTGATGGCTGCGTGCAGAAAACAAGATCGTGGTCCAGAACCCGGTTGTCGAGCTTGATGGAGATGAGATGACGAGGATCATCTGGAAGAAAATCAGGGAGGAGGTCAGTTGCGTGTTCGATCGCTCTGCGCCACAATGCTTATACGCCTCTGCCCAGTTAATCCTGCCGTACCTGCAACTGGACATCAAGTACTACGATCTTGGTCTTGAGCACCGTGATGCTGTGTGTCTTTGCGTACATCTGCGCGGAAATGTACCCCCATTGAAACGTATGGACGCAGACGGATGACAAGGTCACGGTTGAGGCTGCGGAAGCCATCCTCAAGCACAAGGTCGGCATCAAGTGCGCGACGATCACTCCGGACGAGGCGCGCGTGAAGGAGTTCAACCTGAAGGCGATGTGGAGGAGCCCGAACGGCACGATTCGCAACATCCTGGGCGGCACTGTCTTCCGGGAGCCCATCATTCTCGAGCGTATCCCCCGGCCCGTTCCCGGGTGGAAGAAGCCAATTGTTATCGGACGTCATGCGTTCGGTGACCAGGTGCGTGGACTGTGCCCAGTAGTATTGACACCACAGGGTACTGAACTGTTCTCGTTGCCAGTACCGGGCATCGGACTTCCTCGCGCCCGGACCGGGCAAGCTCCAGTTGGTGTACAGTCCCGCAGACGGAGGTGCTCCTACGAAGATTGATGTGTACGACTTCAAGGGCGCTGGCGTTGCGCTTGCAATGTACAACACTGACGACGTGCGCAACCATCATGTCGTTTGCCCTCGATGTCTCTGACGCGTCCATGCTTAGTCTATCCGAGGATTCGCACACTCTTCATTCAAGATGGCGCTTTCCAAGAAGCTGCCTCTGGTCGGTTATGGATGAATGTACGCCTTGTACACAGCTAACCATCGGTTGTCTAGTTCATGTCGACAAAGAACACCATCTTGAAAAAGTATGACGGTCGCTTCAAGGACATTTTCCAGGAGATCTACGACAGGTTTGTCTCTCGGCGTTTCCCCCCTGTGTGGTGCTGAGCTAGTCTGCAGCGAGTACAAGTCGGCTTTCGATGCCGCGGGTATCTATTACGAGCACCGTCTGATCGACGACATGGTCGCACAAGCGATCAAGTCCTCCGGCGGCTTCGTCTGGGCATGCAAGAACTACGACGGAGACGTCCAGTCCGACATCCTCGCACAAGGATTCGGTAGCCTCGGCATGATGACGAGCGAGCTCATCACGCCCGACGGGGACGTGATCGAGAGCGAGGCTGCGCACGGCACCGTGACGCGGCACTACCGGGAGTGGCAGAAGGGCAACGAGACGTCGACGAACCCTGTCGCATCCATCTTCGCATGGACGCGTGGGCTACTGCACCGCGCGAAGCTCGACCAGAACGACGCGCTCCGCACTTTCTGTCAGGAGCTGGAGTCGTCGTGTGTGGAAGTCATCGACAAGGACGGTGTGATGACCAAGGACCTTGCTCTGGCGATCCACGGGAAGGACATGAAGCGCGAACACTGGGTCGTGACGGATGTATACATGGACAAGGTCCACGTAAGTGAAAGTTGTGGATTCTGGAAGAAATCCTCACTGATCCGTTGCCTGGCGACAGGACAAGTTCAAGCAGAAGTTGGCTGCGAAGAACCTCAAGCTCTGATTGGTCATGGAGATGACCAGGTGATCGTGTTTTTTTGGATATGTAGCGGTTCGCATGCACACAACGGATGTTGTGCAGCTGTACTTTGTGCCTTCGATTGCGTCCCCTGTTGCGTTGGTCCGCCCAATTGTTTTCAAGTCATCGGTAAATAATACCATTATGCTAGCACAAGGCCATCACGGCCGGCTGGCCTAATGGTTAAGGCGTCAGTTTCCGGTTTACGGATTCAGCTGAAGATTCTGGGTTCGACTCCCAGGTTGGTCGTCCGTCTCAGCTTGTTGTCAAGGGGCAGACGGTGTCTGGCGCTATAGTGTAGTGGTCATCACTTGGGATTCTGAGAAGGTTCCCAAAACCCAGGTTCGAGCCCTGGTAGCGCCTGAGCATGTTGTCAGATTTCGGTCGGTTGGACCATGCCACGCATGTGGGCAACTTGAACAATTTCGGACAAGGTGGGAAGCATGCGAATAACGGGCGGCCTCGGGCGGCGTGGCTGTGCGACGTATGTCGGCTGTGACTGCAGTATTACCGTATATGGACAGGCGCCGTCTCGGGATAGAAAGCCGTCGCGGTGATTCGCGTCGAGGAGGAAATCGACTTTCTTACAGAACGGCCATGCTCTGGTCCCCCCTGCGTTGCCCAAGGCCACGCCCTCACCGTTGAGACCACGACGTCGAGCACCCCACCACCCCCCTCTCTCCCCTATCTCTTGCCGTCGCCCCTCCCAGGCCCTGTGAACATCAACCGCACGCATGCCGCTCTCCGCCCGCAGCCGTCCCGACGGCGACAAGGAGCGGTCGGCGAGGACACAGGAGCAGGAGCTCAAGCGCGCAAGGGGTGCGATATCTTGCGCAGAATGCCGCCGCCTCAAGCTCAAGTGCGACAAGACGGTGCCGTGCTCGTCCTGCAAACGCAGGGGGTGCGCCTCCATCTGCCCCAATGGCAGCCTGACCACTGGTCAGGGCACGAGGTACGCGCCCTCGAGGTCCCGTTTACGCTTTGTACAGTTATCCATGTGAGACGAGAGGGAGTCTTCCTGATGCTCGCCAACTTTGAGTGATCGAGCATCAGAGAGAATCGGTCTTGCTGAAGCTTTCTCGCGGCCTCCGGGCCACGGACAGATTGCCGAGTCACAGTGGCGCAAGCCTATTCCATGTTGCGCAAGTCCTATAAGCCATAAATTATCGGGAGAACCACAGACCAATCCCTCCAACGTTTTAATGAACATGCTCGTAGTCGTGCTGGGAGGACGGCGTATGCTAAATGCTGCCTATATCAGGTTCATTCTTGCCGACACGGACCGCTTGCATCGCAAAATAGCGGAAATGAGCGATCGGATTCGGACGCTCGAGGACGCTCTCGCGCTCCTGCAGTCGAGCGTCACCCGTGATCCTCACCCGCTACTACGTACCGACTTGCTTGGTATCAAATCAGGACTTGAGCTACATGCAGCCACCCGAGGTGCGGGTGGCAGCGGAGGCGGTGGCACAGAAGGTGTAGAAGGCGAAGATATAGAAGAGGAAGAGGAAGAAACACAGTATGTCGATGCCTTCGGTACCCTCGCTGTGCGCGACGATGGTGCAGCGACGTTCTATGGTCGTTCGGCGGGTTCTGAGGTATGTTCGTCGCCGTTGATTGTAATGTCATCGCTCAGTGGTCTCCTCCGCAGAGCCTCTTACTAGTGAGTCGGGCCATGTTGCCACTTGTTTCGGCAGACTGTAGCTGATGACACCAGGACGACAAACCTCATCTCACCCTGTCGACACTATCACGATCCTCCAGCTCCCACCCTGACCTCCCCCAAGCGCTCAATCGCCTGGCAGCAACGTTCCCCTCGGGGCCGACGGATCTTCCCATCCTGGACCTGCAAGACTTGATGCAGGACTATCTACCACCATGGCAACGCGCGGCGCAGCTGCGCGACCTCTACCTCGAACAAGCTCCCTGGTTCTTCGGCGCAGTCACACGACGCCAGATCGACGAAGAGGTCCTCCCCCTCTTCTACGAGGAGGCGGAGATCGAGATGCGCCACCGAGTCGAACAGGGGTTCTCGGGGACGGGCGCGCTGGGCTCCTCGGCCGAGGCCTTCAACCTCCCCGGACGGAGCACGCAGCCCTCCTCGCACGACCTTGCCCTCCTGTTCGTGATATTCTGCTTCGGGACGCTGACCGATCCCTCGCTGCCTCCAGCGCCCCATAACGCCGAGGCGGCGAGGTACTACCAGCTCACGCGTGCGGCGCTGAGCCTTGAGCCGGTGCTTGACAGGCCCCCAAGTGTCACTACGGTGCAGACCCTGAGCCTCATGGGCATCTATCAGGTGCGTCCATGGGCGCCGTTGTGTCAGTCAGGCCTTGACAGTGGCTGCAGGGCCTTGTCGCTGACGAACACAGCATCGAGACAACATGGGCGCTCATGGGCCTGAGCTCCAAACTGGCGCAGAGTGTGAGTATGCTGTTGTTAGTAGCGTCGTTCCAGCTCACTCCTTCGTTATAGGTTGGCCTCCGTATGTACACCGCCTGCCGGACGCACTGACATGTTTCTGACATCATGTTAGATCGAGACAGTGCGCGATGGAAACTCTCGTCAGCGGAGGTACAAAAGCGGCGTGCGCTGTTCTGGGAGCTCTTCATTACGGACTGTTGGCAGGTTAGTGACTATCTGTTCAAAAGGGACACGGTTTGCCTGATCTGCGCGTCAGGCACTCGCGACTGGTCGACTGCCTACGTTCGCCCTCCAATTCGTAGATGCTGAGTTGCCAGCGGACCCGGATGAGACGCTGTCGGACGACGGAATCCCGCAGCCTAGCTGTGAGTATTCCTGCTGGTTGCACGACATTGTGCTTAGCGTATTGTAGTCCCATCGTGGAAGGCTCGCTGGGGGAAGGAATGCGTTGCCAGCGTCGTGATGGGCACATTGACCGCACAAGCGCCCAAGTACTCGGTCATCCTCGACCTCGATCGACGCATCCGGGACATGCCGCTCCCCAAGTACGCGCAGGGTGAAGCCCCGAAGAACGCCGGGCTCGCGCAGACGATGTCGCACTTTATGCCGACCAATTATCTCCATCTGAGTACGTTCACCGTGGTCTACTATCCCTACGGTGCTCATGCGTGTGTGCGTAGCATTGCTCTATGTCCACCGATGCTTCTTCGCGCAAGCCATTCTCGACAATCCCGGCGACCCCATGCGCAGCCAGTATGCTCCGTCGTTCCTCGCGGGCTACCGGAGCGCGTGCTCGCTGCTCAGCTCTATCCGCGAGCAGTTCACGCTGTTCCCAGTGCAGATCGCGCGCTTCTGGGTGTTATGGACCCATGCCTTCTCCGCCTGCGTGGGTATCGATTGCTCGTTTCCGTTTGTCGATAGATTGCTAAATCGCGTTCGCAGGTCATGATGGGCTCTGTGGTAACCCGGGGCGGCACCTCAAAAACGGCGCAGGCCGCGCTGAGTGAACTGCGTGTCGCATGTGATCTCTTCGAACGGGCGGCGACGCATGGCGGACGGGCGGGCAAGTTCCTGGTACATCCCTTCTATCCATACTCTTTCCGAGCTTTGCTGATGCAGCCTGTACGCGCAGCCTGTCGTCCGGAAGCTGCACGAGAAAGCGCAGGCGGCGTACTTCAAGGGTTTCCAGCCACTGCGGCGCGACATTTTCACGCCGCGCTCGGAGGAGAACGACAACTTCGACGAGCTTTCTATCTTCAGTGGACGTACCGCGCGCACGGTGACCACAAAGTCCAATCGGCCCCAGCGCGTGTCGCCGAACACGTCGGCGGCAGGCACGCCCTCCGATGCGTCCGCCCAGGGCTCGCAAGGGGGCTCTTCCGGCTCGGATGGCAGGAATTCTCAGTCTCCGGCGGCCGAAGTGTTCCCTGCGTTGGAGTCGTCGTATCGTGCCGCTATCCACCCAGGTCTGGTCGACGAGCTGAAGAGCTTCGAAGGGCAACTCGAGCAGCAGATCAACCAGACTAATGCCTACTACACGTCCGCGCCCCTAACCCAGCCCGACCGACCTGGGCCGTCGATGACCGTCTACGGAGGCCAACCACAACCGCAACATTTCCAGGAGTCGCAGCTTCCGCAATATAACCAGTACCCTCAACATACGTCTGCTCAACACCTGAATCAGCAGCCACAATTCCAGCAACCGCAACACCTTACACACTCGCAAGCTGTCCAGCAGCAAGACTACGATTACTCTTACCATGCTCAGCATCAACCCGATGCTGCTGCGCATCCGATACCTCATACACAGCACGAATACCAGAACCACTATATCCCTCCTCAACAAGCATACCACAGTGGCGTTCACCCGGCAGAGCCGTTGTCTAGGCGGGTGTCATACCATCAATCAGCAGCGCCCATCAACGCCGTTCCTCCACCCCCTGCTCACATTCAACCCGCCAATTATCCGCAGGACCCGCACAGCCTCCCGATGTATGGCGGGTTCTCGAAAGCCCCTCAGCAACAGCAGCAGCAGTACGACGCATATGACCAGCCATCCATGTCATCGCACCAGCCCGAGCACTCCGCGTATGCGATCCAGCCCACACCCGGCCAAGCCCTCCCTGACGACTGGCGCGGGAACGTCCCTCCAGCCGAACTATCTCCCGAACAGCACCCATACCCCACTCCGACCGCTCCTGCATACCACCCCCAGTTCGACGAGCACACGCCCGCCCACACCCAGACACACACGCACACGCATTACGACCAGCACGCGCCCGCGTTCTCCGCCGCGCACGTCCACCCGCCGCAGACGCCGGGGCAGGCGGCGCAGGGCCAGCAGTATGCGTACGCGCAGCAGGTGCAGCAGATGGTGCCGCCCCCGCCCGCGCCGCCGCCGCCGCTCATCCACGTGCACACGGGCGGGTACAGCCTGCAGGAGACATGGACGTCGTTCATCCAGCAGGAGCTCCCGCCGCCGCCGCAGGGGCGAGTCCCGCCGCAGAGCGGGCCCCCGAAGTGACGCGTGGACTGACAGTCGGTCGACGTGACAAGACCCCCACTCCCCTCACAACCCCCCCGGCTCGCCCGTGCTCCCTTGGATCCGCCTTGCTGGCATTTGTCTCGTGAAGGTCTGTACTTGTATCTGTCCCGGAGTTGGTCTCGAGTATCCCGCTTTCGTCGTTTGCCCTCCGTATCGCCACCGTCCGATCCCCGTACGTCTTGCTTTCGTGTTGTACCACTTGTCCGCGCGCGTGTGCCCCTTAGAGAAGTCCCAGGCTCGTCAGCGCTGGTTCTCCTACCGCCTACAGTATGCTATGCTG